TGAAACGGATTAAGTTCCGCACGTGCAGTGGTTAAAATTACACTGTATTTGTTTGGTACAATTTTCGGTATGAATAAGTGTACCATTACACCCCTAGAAAACATTTAAAAAACCAAAACTGGATTTACCTGCATAAGAATGTGTCTGAGCAAAGGCTGTTGTTGTAAATAGGGAGCTTTTTCACCTTCTTCTTTTTTAACGGCGATTGAAAGAGGAAGCAGAGCGGGAAATAACGGATATATTTTCAAAGTTTCAGTAATCCACCAATAGGAATAAGGGAAGACACAAAGCAACCAATAGCATTGTTGAATGCGCTGAGATGTGGACCGCCACTGACCTGCCAGCAGTTTATATGTGCTTTTCCAAATAAAAGCCAACTGTTAACCATAAGTTAACATATTCCATGGTGTGCCATAGCCAAGCCACATATGGCTCTCAGTTGTGTGCTATCATCTGGGCCATATACCTCAAAAAAATTGGCATCCAAAAGAAAATTCCCTCCAATTCTAAATCCATGGCAAAAGATATACGGTTAAAGTTTGGCCCATATGTGCTCAGCCATGCCATACCTAGGCCAAATGTGACAGCTATCAGCCACATTTGGCCCAAACGTTCTTGCTATCAGGGAACTGTTTGTTCACAAATTTAATGCAGCATTCATAATTTTGAAGATATATGCACAGATGAATCATTCACAAAGAGACCTGTAACATGCATTAAGAAAATGAACAGGGTCCATTTGGATTTCATGCAGAATTTCATAGTACAGATACCATATCAATATATTAAAGTAAAAGTCATCCAACAAAATACTACTTAAATCAAATCTACCATTCATCTTTTAAAAAAGGGACCAACCCATGGTCTAATGAACCTCAGCATCACGTCTGCACAAAACCACCTGGAATCTGCACAATATCCCAACAGTGAAGCATGATGGAGGGATCATCGGTGAGTGGCTTATTGACTCCTCAAATGGCGCTTTTCCACTGCGTGGTACGACTCGGCTCGGCACGGCTCAGTACGGTACGACACGGCACGGCTCGGTTTGCGTTTCCACTGCAGTTCAGTACCGCTTTAGAGTGGGCGGGATTATTCTCATGTCGTTATAGTTGCGCCGCCTCTATTGCCGCGACTCCTGGAAAACTTTTTCATTCCACGTCGCCACATCAAGCTCGCTGGATCCGCTCCTCTGCTATCAACGAGAGGAACGTCTGTACTTCCTCAACAGACAACGAAACAGCACTTTTTGGTTATTAAAAAAGGTGTGCTTGTTCAAAACAGTTGCGTTCGATCCTTCGCTGGCTGTGCTGATTTAAATCTAGCGGTTCTGTTGTGTTTGTGTCGCAAGTTCTGTGACGCAGGTAGTGACGATTCTCTCCGGCCAATCCATGATCAGCAGAGTTTACCCGTCACGTTTTGGTAACGGTACGGTTCACTAGGAACCTCAACCGAGGTGGTACTAAAAAAAGTACCAGGTACCAGGTACTGTACCCAGTGGAAAACCCCCCAAAATGAACCGTACCGAACCGTACCGTGCCATACCATGCAGTGGAAAAGCGCCAAAAGTGTCCCAGAGTGGCCCAGCCAGAGCCTGGACTTGAACCCAAACAAACATTTCTGGAGAAACCTGAAAATGTCTGTCCACCGATGGTCCCCATTCAACTTGACAACTTGACAAAAGAATGACAGAAAATCCCCAAATCTAGGTGAGCAAAGCTTGTCACATCATACCCAAAAAGACTTGAGGCTCTAATCGCTGTCAAAGGTGCTTCAACAAAGTTATGAGTTAATGGTCTGGATACATATGCAATCAGCTATCACAAATCGTCCCAGGTTACGCATGTAACCATGGTTCCCCGAACAGAACGAGACACTGCGTCCGAAGACGCTATGGAAATGCCCCCAGCGTGACCACGCTCTGAATCACATGTGTAATCAGTCCAGTGGAAGGGCGAGATGTCACGGGCGGGTGATGTCATCGACCAGGAAGCTTAAAAGTATGTGCGGCGGAGCCGGCGTAAGTTTCTAGGAATGACGCAAGCGCTGGCAGGGATGCCAGAAGTATGGCTTCGAGACGCAGCGTCTCGTTCCCTTCGGGGAACCATGGTTACATGAGTAACCTGAGACATTCCCCTTCAGGAACTCGAGCTGCGTCCGAAGAAGCTATGGGAACGAGATGCCCACGCCACCAGACTGACAAATCCCTGCCTAGTGTATATTAGGACGAGAGAACAGAAGAGCCCGGAGTGGCTCGCATATCAAGGCCATAGAACCTCACGAACGTTAGGGGTGTGGACCATCCAGCAGCGTTGCAGATGTCCTGCATAGACACACCTGCCAGAAAGGCCGCCATATTTCTCGTAGAATGAGCCTTGACTCCCATCGGCGAGGGGAGATCAGAGGACTCGTAGACAATGTTAATGGCATCAACTATCCACCGACTGAGGGTCTGCTTTGTAGCAGGAAGACCATAGGGGGGACCATAGCACACGAGCAGTTGGTCCGCCCTTCTCCACAGGGCAGCTCTGTGGATGTGATCGAACTGGACACATACAGTTAAGCTTCTGCTGGCCAGGCTCCCTAAAGGGAGGAGGACAGAAAGCCTGCAGTATGATAGGCTGTGGCGTGACAGAGGGAACTTTGGGGACATACCCTACTTGAGGATAAAGAAATGCTTTGGCCATGCCGGGCGCAAAGTCGAGATGAGAAGGGGCCACTGAAAGGGCCTGGAGATCCCCAACTCTCTTCAGAGAGGAAATAGCCAGAAGAAAGGCAGTCTTAATTGTGAGATGTCGATCAGATATCTCTTCAATGGGCTCGAAAGGAGCTTTACAGAGAGCCTCTAACACCACAGCCAAATCCCACGGGGGAACACGGGACCGTACCGGGGGCCTCAGCACACCACGGAGGAAACGTGTAACTGTCTGCCCACTAACTGGCCACCAACTGGGGCGTGGTAGGCCGCAA